AATAAGTAAACAGTTGGATGCCAAGGATCTTTTACAATCAATTGGCACATTCATCACATCGAGACTGCTATATAGTGAAATGTTTTTTTACCAGATAGTTGTCACAGCGTCTATGATCATCTAGGAACAGCCCATTTCCAACATATCATAGGCGATGTGGCTGTCATCATCAATTATGTGGCATCCCAGCCTTACATTTTAAAAACTGAAATTAGAATCAAATGCTCCCCATCTTATTCTTCCTTGTGTGATACCAGAGCACCTTCCATGTTTCATTGGTAATTAGAATTATGTAGACAATAATATGTCTCTAGCCTTGTGCATTGGTAATTAGAATTATGTAGAAATATTGAGATAAACCTACATTTCATATAAAAAAAAAAAGAAAATAAAGTAACCTAAGCCAATCATGTTTCAACAAACTCTCAAACTGCAGATTTCCAGACCAAGGCTTTATCAATAATGAGTTTTAATAAACTAAGTAATAAGCTGGGCATAATAGCATATAAAACCTAACTTGAGAGGGTGAAGGGGATGTAAATAATCCCAAATCTATTGAACACAATTTTTCATCTATAAAAACCCAGCAATTCATGGACATCACTTTCCATCTACAATAATCTAGCAATCTATGGATAATAACTTTCCATCTATGGCAATCTATGGACAACAACATTCCATTTGTCACATGGTTAACTATAAAATTCAAAATTAAAGAGTAACTTTTAAATTTATTTTTTTCCACAATAGTGATTTCTTTATTTATTTATGTATAACTTCTCATCTTATTTTTACATAAAGCAAGAAAATAGAATTCAATCATATAATCTCTCTTTCTATGTTTCAAGGCCTTTAAAACTACATTTAAGCATGATTATAATTGATCGCACTTGGGATGGTTAACCTCCTAAGGCGTTAAATAAAATTGGTTAAAACTGTGAGGTTTATAATAATCTGTGATGCATTGAGCCAAAACAGACATATCTTACATAGTATATAGTCTAGGGCAATATGAATAATTCCACTAGACCCATTCTAAATCAAGTTTACTATTTTAAATTATAGCATTCATTGATGGAAAACCAAGCAATTTTATCGATCATAGTTTGCTTCTTCTACACTTGAGATACATATATGGCTAACACCTTTTAATCTTTAGCACCCGGTAATTCATGAACATCAGCTTTCTATCTACAGCAATCTAACAATACATAGGCAATAACTTCCCTTTATAGCAATATGTGCTAAAAAAACCTTCCATTTATGTTGCGTGGCTAATTCTTACTTTAGAATTCAAAAGTGATTTTTAAATTTATTTATTTTCAAGATAGTTATTTCTATATCTAATTATGTACAACTTCTCATCTTATTATTTCCAACTTCCCTTTATAGAAATATGCGCTAAAAAAACCTTCCATTTATGTTGTGGCTAATTCTAACTTTAGAATTCAAAAGTGATTTTTAAATTTATTTATTTTCAAGATAGTTATTTCTATATCTAATTATGTACAACTTCTCATCTTATTATTTCCACAAAATAAGAAAATAAAATTCAATCATATAATCTCTCATTCTAATTTTCAAAACACTCAGAATTACAGTTAAACATGCTCATAATTGACCACTTTTGGAATAGTTGACCTCCTTAGAAGTCACATGAAATGGGCTAAAACCATGATGTTTACACTAATACTGAATAGGCTGAGCCAAAGCAAATAATACCTTATAAAAATGATCAAGACACTATAAATCATCCAGACTAGATACATCCTAAATCAAGTTTTCTATTGTAAATGATATCATTCCATTGATAACAAATTGAACAACTTTATCCATAAAAGTTTGCTTCTTCAACACATGAGATAAGTAAAGCTTTATTTGAGACCGTTATTTGCCACTATTTTTTTTTTTTTTGCTTTAAAAAAAAAATGAACTTAAAGAGCTGCTTTGGAAAGCAGTAAGAAAATCTGCCCAAACGAAGCCTAAGAATCAACTGCCACCCACAACCACTCCTGTTCGTATAATTGCTTCTCAAAGCATACTCTATCAAAGTGTAATTTTGAAAATTAATCTCTCATTGTTCTCCTAAAGATAAATTCCATTGACGAGTTCCACGAGATAAATTCCCTTAATAAGTTTGGAGGGGACAAAATGCCTTAGCAAGTTTTATGATCAAGTTCTATTAGCAATAACTTTTGGGTGGTCGGACAAGTACTACGGGCTAATAGCTGGCAACTTTTATAAACCGGGTCAATATTCATAAGACTATTTGATCAACCTCACCCAAATGGGCATGATAGTCAATGGAAAGCATACAACTATTGATCACTAGAAGCATAAAATAAAGTTGACATACAGAAAGCTCTCCCCTTACTGAACAATCACACACGAAAGAAAGGAATCAAGGCTAAGGACCATAAGTATAGACGAAGGGAAGTTGAGATAGAAAACAAGACCAAGAGAAGAAGATGTCCAACCATTGAGGACTTCGAGATCCAAGGTATCTACGTCGAACCCAGCCTCGAAATAGTGCTGGAAGACATGGCCGGGGGCGTCAACGTGGGTGCCGGTGTGGGTGGCAAGCATCATTTCGGAGTTATTGGCGAGCGAACCGTTGTCCATGGATTTAAGAAGCCTCAGAAACTGCCCCACCCCTTCCGCCGACTCCCACGCCGGCATGTCATCCCTGTAGTAGTGGGAGATGTCGATGATCCTCCCGCCGTCATACTCCTCCCTCCTCAAAGCCACTAGCTCGGCCTCTCGGCCGGCGGTGGAAACGGCAACTCCAAACGACGGGGCGTCGTCATAGGCTGGGTGGGCAGAGGAGGCACAGAGAATCGCCAGAGAGAGCGCGTGCAGGATAAGGAAAGAAGGGTACCACTTCATAGTGATCCTTGCCATTGCAGCGGCGGCGGT